CACCTCTGCTGGCCCCGACGCCGCCCTTACCGGCCCCGGCGCCGCCTCTACTGGCCCCGTCGCCTACCTCTGCGGCCCCGGCGCCGCCCTTCCCGGCCCCGGCGCCGCCTCTGCTGGCCCCGTCACCTACCCTACGGCCCCGGCGCCACCTCTGCTGGCCCCGTCGCCGCTCCACCCGGCCCCGCCGCCGTCCCCAAGCGGCCCCGCCGTCACCACCGAGCCGCCGGCGCGGCCGAATTGCTACCGAGCCGCCCAAGCCACCCGAGCCGCCCGAGCCGCAGCGCCACCTGATCCGCCCGAGCCCCCGGGTCGCCGAGCCGCCGAGCTGCAGTTGCTGCCGAGTCGCCCGAGTCGCCGAGCCGCAGTTGCCGCCGAGCCGCCCGAGTCGCCCGAGCCGCCGAGCCGCAGTTGCTGCCGAGCCGCTGTGCTGCCAAGCCGCCCGAGCCGCCAGCACCGCCGAGTCGCCGAGCCTGCTCTTCCCACCACTGGTGAGCCCCTGCCCTGCCTTTCGGCCTGCCTGGCTGCCTGCCTTACTGCTGCTACTCCTGCTCCTGCTTCTACTGGCGGAGCCAGATGCAGCCCCAGCGACGTCCGCTTGAGTCCCTCACGCCCCAGCAGCTGCGTGAGTGGTACGCTGGTTGGGGTTGTAGGGGTGGCGGCGCTACTACTGCTACCACTACTGCTGCTACTACTACTGGTGGCGGCCAGATGCAGCTAAAACGACGCCCACGCGCGTCTCTCACGCCCCAGCAGCTTCGTGAGTGATACGCTCAGAGTGGAGGGTCTTTCAGTTCTGTTCGCTGCTCTTACGTGATTCGCACTGGTGCTCGGACTGGTCAGCCTTGTGGGACACCTAGTCACACGCAGTCCCGCTGCTTCGCCCGTCTGAGCGACGCCTGGCGTACCGCGTTTAGCAACGAGGCTGAGCTCCCCGACTAGGTGGAGTTGCTTAGGCAGAGGATAGATATATTTGCTCTTGACTATGATGCTATTCTCAGTGCCATGTATGCATTGCCTACTAGTGCTGACCTTGCCGGTCACCTGTGCGTACCGCCTGACCCGGGTATAGAGCCTGCTGCTCTAGCTACTGGTGAGGCTGCTGCTCTGGGTGCTAGTGAGTCTCCTGCTCCAGGTACAGGTGCAGCTGCTGCTCTAGGTGCTAGTGAGTCTGCTTCCTCAGGTGCGGGTGAGTCTGCTCTCTCAGGTACCGCGGCGGCTCCGGCCTCTCACACTTTCACTCTTGACTCTGGGGCTTCCCGCTCCTTCTTTCGAGACCGCACCACACTCACGCCGCTTGGTCGGCCAGTTGCAGTCTCTCTGGCAGACCCCTCTGGGGGTCCTGTCCTTGCTCACTTCTCCACTGTCCTCCCGTGTCCGGCGGCCCCCTCTGGCACCCTGTCTGGTCTTTACCTCCCCTCGTTCTCTACGAACTTGGTGAGTGGTGCTGACCTACAGGATGCGGGGGTTCACCAGTTCACTCCTGCGAGTCAGCGGGTGACCCACTGCACGGACGCTCGGACAGGCCGACACCTGGCCACGTTTACACGTCGGCCGGGGTCGAGCCTGTACACACTGACCACTGCGTCTCCTCCAGTCACTGCGTCAGGTCAGGTAGCTGCGTCGGGTCAGGTGTTTGCTGCAGCGTCCAGGTCTGGTCCTGAGTCTGCCCCCTGCTCGTGTCGCCTCCTGTCTCACGAGACTCTCCTCTGGCACCACCGCCTTGGGCACCCCTCCCTGCTTCGTCTCCGAAGCATGGCCTCCCGAGTCCTTGTCTCTGGTCTTCCCCGGTCCCTCCCTCCCCTTCCTCCGGGGCATGGCCCTACCTGCGTCCCCTGTGTCGAGGGGCGGCAGCGGGTTGCCTCTCACTCCTCCCAGTTTCCTCAGACAGAGGCCCCGCTGCAGACGCTTCACATGGACGTGTGGGGCCCGGCCCGCGTCCGTGGACAGGGTCACGAGCGCTACTTCCTGCTGGTGGTTGACGACTACTCGCGTTACACCACAGTCTTCCCCTTGCGCAGCAAGGGTGATGTCACTGAGGTGTTGATCGACTGGATCTGCGCAGCTCGTCTCCAGCTCAGGCAGAGCTTCGGCTCGGACTTTCCTGTTCTGCGCCTGCACTCTGACAGGGGAGGAGAGTTCTCCTCTGGCCTTCTGCGAGCCTACTGTCGTGCACGAGGCATCCGCCAGACCTTCACGCTTCCGGACTCTCCACAGCAAAATGGGATTGCTGAGCGCCGCATTGGCATGGTCATGGACGTCGCCCGTACGTCCATGATGCATGCGGCTGCCCCCCATTTTCTGTGGTCGTTTACGGTCCGGTACGCGGCGCATCAGATCAACCTTCAGCCCAGGGTCTCCATGCCGGAGACCTCCCCAGCTTTGCTGTGGACGGGGAAGGTTGGCGATGCGTCTGCGTTCCGTGTCTGGGGATCTCGGGCGTTTGTCCGCGACTTGTCTGCGGACAAGCTGTCCCCTCGTGCTGCTCCCTGTGTCTTCCTGGGTTTCCCCCCTGACGCGCCAGGGTGGCAGTTCTACCACCCCACCTCTCACCGTGTTCTGTCCTCCTAGGACGTCGCGTTTGACGAGTCGGTCCCCTACTACCGTCTCTTCCCCTACCGCACTACGTCCCTTCCCCCGCCACCGCTCTTCCTTGTGCCAGGTCCCCCCCCGGTAGACCCCCTCCCCCCTCAGGGTCCTGCCCCTTCAGGTGTGTCCCAGGTAGACGCTGTTGAGCCTGTCGAGGTCGCTGGTGACTCTGGTGCTGCTGAGGGTGCTGAGCCTGGGGGTGCTGACTCTAGGGGTGCTGAGCGTGTGGGTGCTGAGCCTAGGGGTGCTGAGCCTTGGGGTGCTGAGCCTGGGGGTGCTGAGCCTGGGAGTGCTGAGTCTGGGGGTGCTGAGCCTGGGGGTGCTGAGCCTGGGGGTGCTGAGCCTGGGGGTGCTGAGCCTGGGAGTGCTGAGCCTGGAGGTGTTGAGCCTGAGGGAGCTGGGCCTGCTCGTGTGGCGTCTGGCGGTGCTGTGCCTGGCGGTTCTCCAGGTGCCTCGTCTCGCCGGGAGCCACTCTCTCCACAGGATCTGCGTGAGTGGTTTGCCCGGCGTTGGAGGCGAGCTGCTGGAGCTGGAGGTGCTGCGGGTACTGGAGGTTCTGCTGGTGCAGAGGGTGCTGGTGCTGCGGGTCCCGGAGGTGCTCGTACAGGGAGTACTGGAGCTGCTGGGCCTGCGGGTACTTCTGGAGTTGGAGCTGCTGCGGGTGTTGGCGCGGAGGCTATTGGTGTCGGTCCTGGAGGCGGTCCTGTTGGGGGTGCTACTGGTGCTGCTGGAGGTACTGGAGCTGGAGGTGCTGCTGGTGCTGGTGCTGCCGCTGGGGGTACTGGTGTTGTCCCTGCTGTGTCTGGAGTCGCCGCGCGGCCTCGGCCGTACTTCGTTCCGCTCCTTCAGCATGTTCTTGGTCTCCCGTCTTCTACTCGTCCTCCTGCTCCCTTCGAGTGTCCACAGCGTGTCCCGTCACAGTTACAGTTACAGCCGGCCTCCCCACTGCCTGCTCCGTCTCCCTACACTGGTCCTACTGGAGGTCTTGCTGAGCGTCGTGAGCCTGCGTCTCGCCCTGCGTCGCCTGTCCGTGCTGCTCGCACTAGTGGTCGCGGTTCGCGTCAGCGTCCTCCTCCTGTCCCTGGCACGAGCCGGATGTCTCTGCGTCCGTCCACTGCTCTTCTGCGTGCCCCTTTACCTTCTCCTCCTGAGTCTTCTCTTCCTGCTCTTGCCGACCCGGAGTCGGACTCTCTTCGTGCTACCAGTCCTACTTTCATGCGTCTCCTTGCTACTGTTGTCACTGACCCTTCCTTTGAGTCCACTGCTGCGTCTGCCCTAGTTGCTGAGCTCATCTACTTTGCTGCTCACTATTGCCCAGACTACGCCGCCAGTCTTGTTGCTGAGTCTTAGTTTGTCTGTCCTCCGTCCATCGGGGGTGAGTGTGCCCTTGGCACGGACGTCCTTGAGGACAGGCAGGAGGAGTTCCAGTGTCTGGCTGCTGCTTCACCTCATCTCGTGTCCGTACTGCTTACCCCTGAGGGAGACCCGGATGCACTTGACATCCCGACTCCGCGCTCTTACACGGAGGCGATAGAGGGTCCCTACTCCTCTCAGTGGCATGCAGCTATGGACGCAGAGATGGCTTCCTGGAAGTCCACAGGCACCTACGTTGACGAGATTCCCCCGCCTGGGGCAAACATCGTCAGTGGCATGTGGATTTTCAGTGTGAAGCGGCCGCTGGGTTCTCCGCCTATCTTCAAGGCGCATTGCGTGGCTCGTGGCTTTAGTCAGCGACAGGGAGTCGACTACTTTCAGACCTTCTCTCCCACCCCAAAGATGACCACTCTTCGGGTACTGCTGCACATAGCTGCTCACCGTGACTACGAGCTACACTCTCTTGACTTCAGCACAGCTTTCCTACAGGGTTGCCTGCACGAGGAGATCTGGCTGCGCCGCCCACGTGGCTTCACTGGGTCTTTTCCTCCTGGCACCCAGTGGAGTCTCCGGCGGCCAGTCTACGGTCTCCGCCAGGCACCGCGTGAGTGGCACGACACACTGAGGACTACACTTGCGGCTCTTGGGTTTGCTCCCTCTACTGCCGACCCGTCGTTGTTTCTGCGCACCGACACTTCTTTGCCGCCGTTCTACATCCTCGTATACGTCGACGACTTGGTCTTTGCCACAGCTAACACTGCTGGACTCGCCCACCTGAAGTCTGAGCTGCAGAATAGACACACGTGCACAGACCTGGGTGAACTGCGCAGCTACCTTGGCTTGCATATCACCCGAGACAGAGCACGCCGCACCATACGTGGGTCAGGCGGCATACAGAAGTAGTAGTCACCCTCTGCACTAACAGTCAATGCATACACGGCAGCAAGAATTGCATCATAGTCAAGATCAAAGATAGGAACATCACGCCTAAGCAGGTCTGCCCAGTAGGGAAGCTCAGTAGCATCAGGAAACTGGGCACGCTAGGCATCGTCCAGCCTAGAGAAGTAGCGGTACTCGGTGTGAAACTTGTTGCACGTCTGACCAGCGCGTTCACCAGTGCGAATGCGGTAAGGGCAGCGACCACTACCCCCAGACGGCCCACGCTGAGCGTACCACTCACGAAGCTGCTGGGGCGTGCGGGGCTCGGGCTGACGCTGCTGCTGCTGGCGCTGGCCACCTCCAGCACCTCCCCGCTGACCAGCTCCACCACGGCCGCCACCACAGCTGGTACCACCGCTCCCACCGCCATCACCACCGCCGCTGTTGCCGCCACTGTTACCGCTCCCACCCTCGCCTCCTCCACCACCACCACGCGCACCGCTGCTGCCACTGCTGCCACCGACCCCTCCACCCCCGCCACCACCCCCACCACCACCACCCCCACCGCCGCCTCCTCCACCACCACCTCCCCCGCTGCCAGTGCCGCCACCCTTGCCTCCCTTGCCCTTGCCGCTGCGGCGCTTCCCAGCAGAAGTAGAAGCGGCACCGACCTCCTCAGCACCAAGGAGGTTAACAGTAGTAGTAGAGGCGTGGGAGGGGACAAGGGGGGAGGGGGCACACCCCTCAAAGAGGGGAGTGCGGGGAGTGCCACGAGCAGCACCGACAGCTACGATGTTGGACTCAGCCGCAAGCAGGTGCTTCTCGAGGTCGTCGAATGTGAGGTCGGTGGGGGGAAGGGCTAGAAAGTGGTCCTTGACGACACGAAGAGAGTCAGGGAGTCGGGTGACAATGAAGTAGAGCGTGATGTACATCGGGGGAGGATTCTTGTCTAAGAACTCAGTCGGGGGGGCGGCGCGATAACGAGCTATTAGCGCGGAGATGAGTGATAAGGTCCTCAGCTGTGGTAAGGGAGGAGAGCTCAGGAAAAAGGTAGGGTAGGATAAGGCGGCTGAGGGCAGCAGTGGCAGGAGAAGAGTAGCGAGCGATGACAGCAGCGTACAGTGTTTTAGCGGTTATATGCTGGCCAAAGTGGGTGCGCTCGGCTAGAGGCAAGTGGTTGCGAATGGCTAGGCGTGCAGTAGCGTCACGGGTAAGCCACTGTGAGTGAGCAACGCTGTCAGCTGTGTCTGGAGCGACTGAGGAACCTTTGGCTGAGTCAAAGAGCGAAACGCCGTCCTTGGCATCAGTCATAAGATACAGCTGAAGATCATCTAGCCAGGCATTGAACTCGACTGGACGACCTTCAGGGTCGAACGACAGTACACTAATAGAAGCCATGGTCACTGCAGCACGACAGTAGAGGCAGCACGCGGACAGCAAGGGCTAATGGAGGGCGGTAGGGGCGGTACGCGAAGCTGCAGAGACAGGGGAGGAGCAGCAAGGGTGGAGGAAGGGCAGTACGAGGGATGAAAAGTCAGTACGAGGGCTGCTAATGCGGAGATAACTGCAGCAACGGGAGCTAGGCTACGGGCTAGGCACGTGTGCTCGTGTGATCTCTGCGTTCGTTAGTCCTTAGTCGTTTTCATTGTGCACACACTACTTGCTAGTTCACGGGGAAAATTGGCAAGAGTTTCACTAGGAAAAGTTCAGAACAATGGTACAATGAAGTTGGCAATGCAAGACTACATCAGAGCTAGCATTCAGGTTGGTCGACTGCCAGCACAGCATGGTCGACTGCGTTCCAGCACGACTTGGTCGACCACGCTACAGCAGTGCAAAGTCGACAGCTTGCCAACGCTGCAGGTTGACAGTGTGCCAGCATTGCTCACGCAGGACAGCAGTGCACCCGCTTTGCAGGTGCGCGCAGATGATTGGCATGCAAAGTCTCGTCACCTGCACAGCGCACACACCACGTCAACCTCGGGCTAGCAACTGCCTCTGATCCGCCACGACGACCTCGGGATACCACCATGGAGGTCGGTCTCACCAACTTCGCCTGGGTGACCGTCGCACTCCTTCGCAGAACCTCGTCACCCAGGTATCCTGGTCGACCTGGCAACTATGTCGACCAGCTGCTCCTGTATGTGCTCGTCGACCTCCCAAGTCGACAACCACACCAAGTCGACCTCACCAGGTCGACCACTCCTCCGGTCGACCAGATCCAGGTCGACGTCACTCCTGGTCGACCAGTGCAGTTGTCAGCTCGTCCAAGTCGGCGTCGCCCACTGCTGCAAGTCGGCTGTACCTTCCGTACACCCCACCACGAAGTCGGCTCCGCCTAAGCGTGGATGGGGCCAACACACAACTCCCGTTGACAGCTAAGGCAGAACGAGGGCTGCTAAGGCAGTGGGAGGGCAGTATGAGGGCTCCTAAGTGTGAGAAAAGTACGAGGAATGAATGCACTAGGAAACAGATGGGTACAAGTAGGAAAACCTAAAAGTGTTGTACCCCATATTATCTACCCCACTACAACCTACACAGACTATAGCATATATGTTTGACACACCCCCATAGGCAAAGTGGGGGAGAACAAGAGGTCACAAGACCAGTCAAGAAGAGCAAAGCAAGCTCAGGGTGGATCACGACGTCACCACACATTCCGAGCGCAGGCAAGCGGCCACAAGGCCAGTTCACATGCAGAGTTATATAAAGCAGAACAAACAAGATAGTGATCACAACCTAGCAAGTGTAAGCATGCGGGTATATATACAGAGATCACAGTACAAGCAAAGTCAAGAGGAGAGCAAGTGAGGCCAAGTGGGCACAAGGCCTAGAACAGTACAGAACCGCTGATGATCACAAGGCTGATGTGCCTTGGTGAAGATATCAGCAGTGTTGGCCTGAGAGGCCACGTAAACAAGACAAAGCTGACAACGCTGCTGCAACTCTCGAGCAAGGAAGTAGCGAAGAGCGATGTGCTTTGTTCTGTGCTCCAGTCCCTACTCACGACTCAAGGCAAGCATTGCATTGTTGTCGACGTATAGAACTGGAGGAGAACAAGGCGCCTCGCCCAAGTCGGTCCGCAGGTAGGTGAGCCAGCGAAGCTCCTGTGCAGCCATGGCCCCTGCGTAGATCTCAGCCTCATATCTGGAGCTGAGAACAGAAGACGAGCGGGTAGACCGCCACGAGACAGGACCGGAGCCAAGGCTGAAGATGTAACCCTGTGACGACCGCTGCGTAGCTAAGTCGTCGACCCAAGAAGCGTCAACGTGACCAGTGAGAACAACTGGACCCCATCCCCCAAGCACGAGCCCCATGCCCGACGTACTGCACAAGTAGCGCATCACCCTCTTAGCTGCCTTCCAGTGCTCTGGTCGGTGTCTCGCGAGCACAACATAGCGTGCCAGGATGCTAAGAGGGTAAGCAAGGTCAGGACGAGTGCAGGCTATCAGGTACATGAGGCAGCCCACAAGCTCTGAATACGGGCCACTCGGCTCTACGGACTCATCCGAAGGCAGAGCTGAGAGCGAGTGACCGGTAGGCAGAGGAGTGAGCTGTGGCGAGGAGTACTGGAAGTCGAAGCACTGAAGGACCTGCTGCAGCATGTGTGACAGAGTCAGGGTGATGGTGCGGCCTGCTTTGTCCCGAGTGATCTGCAAGCCAAGATAGCTGCGTAGCTCACCCAGGTCTGTGCACGTGTGTCTCTTCTGCAACTCCGACTTCACTAAAGTCAGTGCCTCAGTGTCAGCAGTGGCAAAGACCATGTCGTCGACGTACACAAGGATGTAGAGCGGCGGCAGTGAACTGTGGGTGCGTAGAAACAGCGACGGGTCAGCAGTAGAAGGAGCAAACCCAAGAGCCGCCAGTGTAGTCCTCAGTGTGTCGTGCCACTCACGAGGCGCCTGGCGGACCGTAGACTGGCCGCTCGAGGCTCCACTGGGTACCAGGAGCAAAAGACCCAGTGAAGCCAGGTGGGCGGTGCAGCCAGATCTCCTCGTGCATGCTGCCCTGTAGGAAAGTAGTGCTGAAGTCAAGAGAGTGAAGCTCGTAGTCACGCTGAGAGGCGACGTGCAGCAGCACCTGAAGAGTGGTCATCTTCGGGGTAGGGGAGAAGGTCTAGAAGAAGTCAACTCTCTGTCGCTGACTGAAGCCTCGTGCAACGTAACGTGCCTTGAAGACACGCGGAGAACCCGGCGGCCGCTTCACCCTAAAAATACACATGCCATCGACAATGTTCGCCCCAGGAGGGGGAACCTCGTCGACGTAAGTGCTTGTGGACTTCCAGGATGCCATCTCTGCGTCCATGGCTGATTGCCACTTAGAGGTGTAGGGACCCGCGATCGCCTCAGCGTAAGAACGCGGAGTCGGGATGTCTGGTGCATCCGAGTCTCCCTCCGGTGCTATCAGCATGGACACGAGATGAGGTACAGTAGCTGCAAAGCACTCAAACTCCTCATGCTTGTCCTCAAGGACGTCTGTACCAAGAGCACACTCACCCCCGACGAACGGAGGACAAACGGACTCTTACTCAGCAACAAGGCTAGCGGCGTAGTCTAGACGACAGCGAGTAGCAAGGTTGACAAGCTCAGCAGCTAAGGCAGACGCAGCAGTGGACTCAAAGGAAGGGTCAGTGACAACAGTGGCAAGGAGACGCGTGACAGTAGGACTAGCAGCACGAGGGGAGTCAGACTCCGGGTCCGGACCGTCAGCAAGGGAGGACGTAGGAGGAGACGGCGGAGGGACACGCATTGGAACACAGAAGGACGAACTGCCATCTGGTGCGTGCCGGGGACAGGAGGAGGACGTGGACGCGGAACACGACGACTAGTGCGAGCAGCGCGAACAGGTGACGCAGGACGAGATGCAGGCTCATGATGCTCAGCAAGACCTCCGGTCGGACCAGTCTAAGGAGAAGGAGCAGGCAGTGGGGAAGCGGGCTGTAGCTGGGACTGCGACTGGACAGGCGGTGGACACTCTAAGGAAGGAGCAGGACCAGCAGAAGGCGGGAGACCAAGAACCTGCTCAAGGAGCGGAACGAAGTACGGCCGCGGTCGCTCAGCGCCCCTAGACCCAACAGGGACAGCACGAGCACCCCCAGCGGCAGCTCCGACTCCAGCAACACCACCAGCTCCAGCAGCACCTCCAGCAGCTCCAGCAACACCAGCACCTCCAGCAGCACCTCCAGCAGCACCACCAGCTCTAGCAGCACCACCATCAGCTCCAGCAGCACCTCCAGCAGCTCCAGCAGCGCCAGCCCCAGCACCTCCAGCAGCGCCAGCCCCAGCACCTCCAGCAGCACCTGCTCCAGCAGCACCGCCAGAGCCAGCACCTCCAGTAGCCCCAGCTCCAGCGGCACCACTAGGCCCAGCAGCTCCAGTACCTCCAGTACGAGCACCTCCAGGACTAGTGGCTCCAGAACCCCCAGCAGCTCCAGCAGCAGCAGGACCTCCAACACCCGTAGCACCACCACCTCCAGCAGCACGGCTCCGGTGCTGAGTAAACCACTCACGCAGCTGCTGAGGAGAGAGTGGCTCCCGCCGGGACGAAGTACCCGAAGGACCTCCAGGCCCAGCACCTCCATACTCCACACGCGCAGGCTCAGTACCCTCAGGCTCCGCACCCCTAGACTCAGCAATCCCAGGCTCAGCAACCCCTGGCTCAGCACCCCCAGACTCAGCACCCCCAGGCTCCGCACGCTCAGGCTCAGCACCCCCAGACCCAGCACCCGCAGGCTCAGCACCCCTAGTAGCACCAGAGTCAACAGCTACCTCGACAGGCTCGACTCCGTCTACGTGGGACACACCTGAGGGAGCAGGACCATGAGGAGGGAGGGGGTCTACCGGGGGAGGACCTGGCGCGAGGAAGAGCGGCGGGGGGGGGGGGGGGGGAGGGGGGCAGTGCGGTAGGGGAAGAGACAGTAGTAGGGAACCGTCTCGTCAAACGTGACGTCCTGAGAGGACAGAACACGGCGTGAGGTGGGGTGGTAAAACTGCCAACCAGGCGCGTCAGGGGGGAAGCCAAGGAAGATGCAGGGAACAGCACGGGAGGACAGCTTGTCCGCAGACAAGTCGCGGAAAAAAGCTCGAGATCCCCAGATACGGAACGCAGACGCATCGCCAACCTTCCCCTTCCACCGCAGAGTAGGTGTGGTCTCCGGCATGGAGACCCAGGGTTGAAGGTTGATCTGATGCACCGCGTACTGAACCGCGAACGGCCACAGAAAATGGGGAGCAACCGCATGGATCATGGACGTACGAGCGACGTCCATGACCATGCCAATGCGGCGCTCAGCAATCCCATTTTGCTGTGGAGAGGCCGGAAGCGTGAACGTCTGGCGGATGCCCTCCGCACGATAGAAGGCCTGCAGAAGGTCGAAGGAAAACTCTCCACCTCTGTCGGAGTGCAGACGCAGAACAGGAAGGTCCGAGCCAAAACTCTCGCTGAGCTGACGATGAGCAGCGCGGATCCAGTCGATCAGCACCTCAGTGACTACACCCTTGCGGTGCAAGGGGAAGACTGTGGTGTAACGCGAGTAGTCGTCAACGACCAGCAGAAAGTAGCACTCGTGACCCTGTCCACGGACGCGGGCGGGGCCCCACACGTCTATGTGAAGAGTCTGCAGAGAAGCCTCCGTCGGAGGGAACTCGGAGGAGTGAGGAGCGGCGCGCTGCCGCCCCTCGATGCAAGGAACGCAGGTAGGGGCAGGCCCCGGGAGAAGGGGAGGGAGAGACCGGGGAAGGCCGGTGACAAGGACTCCGGAGGCCATGCCTCGGAGACGAGGCAGGGAGGGGTGACCAAGGCGGTGGTGCCAGAGGAGAGTCTGGTGAGACAGGAGGCGACACGAGCAGGGGGCAGACTCAGGACCAGACCGGGACGCTGGAGCAAACACCTGGCCCGACGCAGCTACCTGACTAGACGCAGCAACCAGAGGAGACACGGTAGTCAGGGTGTACAGGCTCGACCCCGGCTGACGGGTGAACGTGGCCAGGTGCCGGCCCGCTCGAGTACACGAACAGTGGGTCACCCGCTGACCTCAAGGAGTGAATTGGTCAACCCATGCGTACTAAAGGTCAGCTTCACTCACCAAGTTTGTGGAGAACGAGGGGAGGTGGAGGCCAGACAGAGAGCCAGACGAGACCGCCGGACACGGCAGAACCGTGGAGGAGTGTGCAAGGACTGGACACCCAAAGGGGTCAGCCAGAGAGACTGCCACTGGCCGACCGAGCGGCGAGAGTGTGGTGCAGTCATGAAAGAAGGAGCAGGAAGCACCCGAGTCAAGGGTGAAAGTGTGTAAGACCTGAGCCGACGCGGTACCTGAGAGAGCAGACTCACCAGCACCTGGAGTAGCAGACTCACTAGCACCTAGAGGAGCAGCCTCAATGCCCGGGTCGGGCGGAACACACAGGTAACAGTCAACCTCAGCACTAATAGACACAGCATACATAGCAGCAAGGATAGCATCATAGTCAAGATCAAAGATAGCAACCCCCGACCTAAGCAGATCACCCTAGCGGGGGAGCTCCGTGGCGTCAGGAAACTGTGCACGCCACGCGTCAGTCAGCGCTGCGTGGCGTGCGGCCCTCCGCACGTCTCCCCACTTTGCTCGCCAGTGCGGAGAACATAGGCACAAGGACCAGCACCCCCAGACCTCCCACGCCCAGTGTACCACTCACGAAGCTGCTGGGGCGACAGGGTCTCACGAGAACGCTGCTGCTACTGGCGCTGGCCACCACCAAGGCCTCCCCGCTGCACAGCGCCACCCCGACCAGCACCACCGCCGCCACCACCCCCACCGCTGCTGCCGCCTCCGCCACCCCCACTGGCGCTGCCACCGCCGCCTCCACCTCCACCGCCGCCACCAAAGCCCCCACTCCCGCCACCACCCTCACCTCCACCCCCACCCCCTCTGCCGCCTCCACCGCCACCACCGCCGCCCCCGCCATCTCCTCCAGCACCCTTGCCCCCCTTGCTCCTGCCGCTGCGGCGCCTCCCACTAGGAGCAGATGCAGCCCCAACCGACTCGGTGCTAGTGAGGTTGACAGCAGCAGCAGAGGCAACAGAAGGCAAAAGGGGAACGGGGGAGCACCCCTCAAAGAAAGGGGCACGAGGGTCACCACGAGAGGCTCCTATAGTGACTATATTCTTCTCAACTGCAAGGAGGCGCTCCTCGAGGAGGTCAACGGTGAGCGTGGTGGGGCAAAGGGAGAGGAAGTGGTCCCTGACTGAGCGAAGGGAGTCAAGGTGCCGGGTGACGAGGTAGTAGAGAGTGATGTACATAGGGGGGGTTTTCTTGGCGCAGAACTCGGCAGGAAGCGCAGCGCGATAGCGGGTGTCACTAGTGCAGAGGTGCGTAATGAGGTCAGTGACTGTGGCAAAAGCAGCTAGGTCACGGAACAGGTACGGCAGCATGAGGCGGCTAAGGGCAGCAGTGGTAGGGGAGGAGTATTGCGCAACAACAGCGTCGTACAGAGTCCTAGCGGTCTTGTACTGGCTAAAGTGCGCGCGCTCAGCAAACGGCAGGTGACTACGAATAGCAAGATGAGCAGCAGCATTGCGCGTGGTCCACTGCGAACGAACAGCACTGTCAGCATCGGCAGAAGGTGCAACAGAGATGCCGGACGTGTGATCGAACAGTGAGACTCCGTCCCTAGAATCGCACTGCAGAAACAGCTGCAGATCATCGACCCAGACCTCAAATTCAACCGCTCGACCCTCAGCATCGAAGGTAAGAACATTAGGGCTAGCCATGACAGCAGGAGCAGCAGCAGTAGCCTAGCAGCAGCAGCACGTTACGATAGTGTCTTAACTGGTAACCGGGTTTAAGGAGGGCCTAGGCTTAGAAGCCTAGGCCAAGCGGGTGTCGAATGAGTTGTGCCAAGTGAGAATCGAGAATGGGTGAAGGTTCACTATAGCACACGAGTACATATAGCAACCTAACAAAGGTGAAAGAGGTACACCACCATATAAGGGAATTACACAACAGCTACACTACAGGCAGATTATACCAAATAGATATAAATCTATTGTGACACACCCCCTATCTGCCTGAAGTGCATAACCATGTGCAGAGCCCCCCTTGAAGGGGTACACCTGTAAAACCCCATTACAGGGCACGGGACACCAGCAAGGGGCCCCCTCTGAAGCTGACAAACAGCAACCACCAAGCAGCATCTGAACCACCACGGTGGAACAGGTACCCGGCTGCGGTTGAACGCCCCGCAGCTGGTGCACGGTGTGCGAGGAGCACGGGTACGGGTAGCGGGTTTGGGTAGCAACTTGGTGCTGTAGGGGATGGGCCGCACGGGGGTGACGGGCAGCACGAGACCGGGCAGCACAGACCGGGTGGGGCACGAGCGAGAACTGACAGCACGGGTGGGGCACCAACGGGTACGGACAGCACGTGTAGGACACAAACGGGCAGAACGGGGCAGCACGGGCAGAACAGGCCAACACGGGCAGAACGGGGTAGGACACGGGCTGAACGAGGCAACACGGGCAGAACGGGGCAGGACACGGCCAGAACGGGGCAGGACATGGGCTGAACGGGGCAACACGGGCAGAACGGGGCAACACGGGGACAACGGGGCAGCACAGGCAGAACGGGGCAGCACAAGGGCTGAACGGGGCAGCACGGGGAGAGCGGGGCAGCACGGGAGCACGGGGGCAGCACGGGAGCACGGGGGCAGCACGGGGGCAGCACGGGGGCACGGGGGCAGCACGGGGGCAGCACGGGGGCAGCACGGGAGCACGGGGGCAGCACGGGAGCACGGGGGCAGCACGGGGGCAGCATGGGAACACGGGGGCAGCACGGGAACACGGGGGCAGCACAGGAGCACGAGGTAGCACGGGCAGAACGGGGCAGCACGGGCACTGACAGCATGGGTGGTACAAGTGGGGCACGCACGGGAACAAACAGCACGGGTAGAGCACAAGCAGAAGCACAGGGAACACGGGCAGACAGCACGGACACGGGCACGGGGCAAGCAAGGGAAAAATAGGGGCAATACGGGACGGCACAGGACCACGGGGCAGCACGAGAAGCACAAGAAGCATGAGTAGCACAGGATCACGGGAGCACGGGAGGTGCACGGTCAGTATGGCACGGGAACGGGCAGCAACACGGGCAGGATCACAGGCAGAATCACGGGCAGAATCACGGTCAGGATCACGGGCAGAACACGGGCAAAATACGGGCAACACACGGGTATAATCACGGGCACAATCACGGGCAGCAGTACGGGCAGAATCACGAGCAGAATCACGGGCAGGATCACGGGCAGAACACGGGCAGGACACGGGCAGAACGGGGCAACACGGGCACAACGGGGCAGCACGGGCAGAACAGGCAGCACGGGCAGAACAGGCAGCACGGGCTGAACGGGTGGGGCACAATCAGGTACGGACAGCACGGGTGGGGCACAGGAACGACGGGGTAGCAGCACGGGAGACACGGGGCGGGGGGATGACAGGAGGAGGTGTGGTGGCAGTTGCTGCAGCTGGAACATCCACCCACACCCCCTGAACCTCCCCCCCACAGCAGCAACAGCGGCAGAGAGAGAGAGGAGGAGGCGTGGCGACAATTGCTGCAGTTTGATCACCCCCTCCATGTCACTCCCCCCCCAACAACTGCAGTCGCGGTAGTGAAGGCGACGGGGAGGGGGGGAAGGGAAGACGGACAGGCGGTAGGCGTTGGCGGCAGTTCTGGCGCTTGCGCTGACATTCACTGCTGACAGCCGCCCACCACCCCTTTCCCCCCCCCCCCTCCCCCCCCCCCCCCCCCCCCCCCCACATGAGCCGCCAACCCCGCCACTCCCGCAACTCCCGCCATTCCCGCCGCCGCCGCCCCCACTATCCTCCACACCCACCACCGCCCAACACGGCATAGGCAGGCGCGGTAGAGGGGGAAGGCACGACGAGGGAGGGACGGGGAGGGGCAGGGACAGTGCGGGTACGGGACGAAACGGCAGTTGCTGACACGGCAGATGCACGCGGGGCAGGGACGGGTCGTGCAGATGCGGGTGGCGTACGGGAGATGGGCGGGGTGCGAGCTGGCTGGCGCGTCGGTTGGGCCGCCAATCCCTTTCCGTCCTCCCTCTCCCACCCACAGCGACCGCCGCTGCACACGCGAACAGTTGCGACAGGGGGGGAGACAGGCAGGCGGCCGCGTACAGGTGGGGCATCGGGTTCCGGGTGGGGCGGCGGGAACAGGATGAAACGGCAATGTGATTCGTTCTGTGCTCCAGTCTCTGCTCTCGACACAAGGCCAGCATGGCCTTGTTGTCTACGTACAGCACTGGAGGAGAATGAGGCGGCGCTCCGAGTTCAGTCAGCAGGTAGGTGAGCCAGCGAAGCTCCTGTGCAGCCATGGCCCCGGCGTAGATCTCAGCCTCACAACTGGAGCCGAGAACAGAAGACGAGCGGGTAGCCCGCCACGAAACAGAGCCGGAACCAAGGCTGAAGGTGTAACCCTGTGACGACCGTTGCGTAGCTTGGTCGTCAGCCCAAGAAGCGTCTGCGTGCCCAGTGAGGACCACTGGACTCCGCCCTCCAAGCACAAGCCCCATGCCCGACGTACTGCACAAGTAGCGCAACACCCTCTTCGCTGCAGCCATGTGCTCTGGTCGGTGTCTCCCAAGAGCAACATAGCGTGCAAGAATGCTAAGAGGGTATGCAAGGTCAGGTCGTGTGCAGGTCATCAGGTACATGAGGCAACCAACAAGCTCTGGATACGGGCCACTCGACTCTACGGACTCATCCGAAGGCAGAGCTGAGAGTGAGTGGCGAGTAGGCAGAGGAGTGGCCTGAGGCGAGGAGTACGTGAAGTCGAAGCGCTGAAGGACCTGCTGCACCATGTGTGACTGAGTCAGGGTAATGGTGCGGCGTGCTCTGTCCCGGGTGATCTGCAAGCCAAGGTAGCTGCGCAGTTCACCCAGGTCTGTGCACGTGTGTCTCTTCTGCAGCTCGGACTTCACGTGGGCGAGTCCAGCAGTGTCAGCTGTGGCAAAGACCAAGTCGTCGACGTACATGATGATGTAGAACGGCGGCAAAGAGGTGTCGGTGCGCAGAAACAGTGACGGGTCGGGTGTAGAAGGAGCAAACCCAAGAGCCGCAAGTGTAGTCCTCAGTGTGTCGTGCCACTCACGGGGCGCCTGGCGGAGACCGTAGACTGGCCACCGGAGGCTCCACTGGGTGCCAGGAGTAAAAGACCCAGTGAAGCCAGGTGGGCGACGCAGCCAGATCTCCTCGTGCAGGCTGCCCTGCAAGAAAGCAGTGCTGAAGTCAAGAGAGTGCAGCTCGTAGTCGCTGTGAGCAGCTATGTGCAGCAGTACCCGAAGAGTGGTCATCTTCGGGGTGGGAGAGAAGGTCTGAAAGTAGTCAACTCCCTGCCGCTGACTGAAGCCACAAGCCACGTAACGCGCCTTGAAGACAGGCGGAGAACCCGGCGGCCGCTTCACCCTGAAAATCCACAGGCCACTGACGATGTTCGCCCCAGGCGGGGGAACCTCGTCAACGTAGGTGCCTGTGGACTTCTAGGAAGCCATCTCTGTGTCCATAGCTGCCTGCCACTGAGAGGAGTAGGGACCCTCTATCGCCTCCTCGTAAGAGCGCGGAGACGGGATGTCAAGTGCATCCGGGTCTCCCTCAGGGGTAAGCACTACGGACACGAGATGAGGTGAAGCAGCAGCCAAACACTCGAACCCCTCCTGCCTGTCCTCAAGGACGTCCGTGCCAAGGGCACACTCACCCCCGACGGACGGAGGACAGACGGACTCTGACTCAGCGACAAGACTAGAAGTGTAGTCTAGACGACAGCGAGCAACAAAGTCGACGAGCTCAGCAACTAGGGCAGACGCAGCAGTGGACTCAAAGGAAGGGTCAGTGACGACAGTAGCAAGGAGACGCGTGACAGTAGGACTGGCAGCACGAAGAGAGTCCGACTCCGGGTCGGCAAGAGCAGGAAGAGAGGACTCAGGAGGAGAAGGCAAAGGGGCACGCAGAGGAGCAGTGGACGGACGTAGAGATATCCCGTGCGTGCCAGGGACAGGAGGAGGACGCTGACGCGAGCCACGACCACTAGTGCGAGCGAGACGGACAGGCGACGCAGGGCGAGACGCAGGCTCACGACGCTCAGCAAGACCTCCAGTAGGACCAGTGTAGGGAGAAGGAGCAGGCAGTGGGGAGGCCGGCTGTAACTGTAACTGTGACGGGACAGGCTGTAAACACTCTAAGGGAGGAGGAGGACCAGTAGAAGGCGGGAGACCAAGAACCTGCTGAAGGAGCGGAACGAAGTACGGCCGAGGCCGCACGGCGACTCCAAACACAGCAGGGACAGCACCAGTACCCCCAGCGGCAGCACCAGCGCCATCAGCACCCCCAGCTCCAGTACCTCCAGTAGCACCCCCAGCACCCCCAGCAGGACCGCCTCTAGGACCGACAGCAGTAGCCTCAGCGCCAACACCCTCAGCAGCTCTAGCTCCAGTCGTACCCGCAGGCCCAGCAGCTCCAGTACTCCCAGCACGAGCACCTCTGGGACCCGCAGCACCAGCACCCTCAGCAGCCGAAGAACCTCCAGCTCCAGCAGCACGCCACCAGCGCCGGGCAAACCACTCGCGCAGCTCCTGTTGAGAGAGTGGCTCCCGCCGAGACGAAGCACCCGGAGATCCTCCAGGCCCAGCACCGCCAGACGCCACACGATCAGGCCCAGCTCCCTTAGGCTCCGCACCCCCAGGCTCAGCACCTCTAGGCGTAGTACCCCCAGTCTCAGCACCCCCAGGCGTAGCACCCCCAGGCTCAGCACCCCCAGGCTTAGCACCCTCAGTGGTAGCACCCCCAGGCTCAGCACCCCTAGGCTCAGCACCCCCAGTCGTAGCACCCTCAGGCTTAGCACCCCCAGGCATAGCACCCACACGCTCTGCACCCCCAGAGTCAGCACCCCCAGGCTCAGCACCCTCAGCAGCACCAGAGTCACCAGTAACCTCGACAGGCTCGACTGCGTCTACCTGGGACACACCTGAAGGGGCAGGACCCTGAGGGGGGAGGGGGTCTACAGGGGGGGGACCTGGCACAAGGAAGAGCGGTGGCGGGGGGAGGGACGGAGTGCGGTAGGGGAAGAGGCGGTAGTAGGGGACCGACTCGTCAAACGTGACGTCCTGGGAGGACAGAACACGGCGAGAGGTGGGGTGGTAGAACTGCCACCCTGGCACGTCAGGGGGGAAGCCAAGGAAGATGCAAGGAGCAGCACGAGGGGACAGCTTGTCCGCAGACAAGTCGCGGACAAACGCCCGAGATCCCCAGACACGGAACGCAGACGCATCGCCAACCTTCCCCGTCCACAGCAAAGCTGGGGAGGTCTCCGGCATGGAGACCCTGGGGTGAAGGTTGATCTGATGCGCCGCGTACCGAACCGCAAACGGCCACAGAAAATGGGGGGCAGCCGCATGCATCATGGACGTACGAGCGACATCCTTGACCATGCCAATGTGGCGCTCAGCAATCCCATTTTGCTGTGGGGAGTCCGGAAGCGTGAAGGTCAGGCGGATGCCTCGTGCACGACAGTAGGCTCGCAGAAGGCCAGAGGAGAACTCCCCGCCTCTGTCAGAGTGCAGACGCAGAACAGGAAAGTCCGAGCCGAAGCTCTGCCTGAGCTGGAGACGAGCTGCGCGGATCCAGTCGATCAACACCTTAGTGACATCACCCTTGCCACGCAAGGGGAAGACTGTGGTGTAACGCGAGTAGTCGTCAACCACCAGCAGGAAGTAGCGCTCGTGACCCTGTCCACGGACGCGGGCTGGGCCCCACACGTCCATGTGAAGCGTCTGCAGCGGGGCCTCTGTCAGAGGAAACTGGGAGGAGTGAGGGGCAGCCCGCTGCCGCCCCTCGACACAGGGGACGCAGGTAGGGCCAGGCCCCGGAGAAAGGGGAGGGAGGGACCGGGGAAGACCAGAGACAAGGACACGGGAGGCCATGCCTCGGAGACGTAGCAGGGTGGGGTGACCAAGGCGGTGGTGCCAGAGGAGAGTCTCGTGAGACAGGAGGCGACACGAGCAGGGGGCAGACTCAGGACCAGACCTGGACGCTGCAACAAACACCTGACCCGACGCAGCTACCTGACCAGACGCAGTGACTGGAGGAGACGCAGTGGTCAGTGTGTACAGGCTCGACCCCGGCCGACGTGTAAACGTGGCCAGGTGTCGGCCTGTCCGAGCGTCCGTGCAGTAGGTCACCCGCTGACTCGCAGGAGTGAACTGGTGAACCCCCGCATCCTGTAGGTCAGCACCACTCACCAAGTTCGTAGAGAACGAGGGGAGGTAAAGACCAGACAGGGTGCCAGAGGGGGCCGCCTGATACGGGAGGACAGTGGAGAAGTGAGCAAGAACATGACTCCCAGAGGGGTCTGCCAGAGAGACTGCAACTGGCCGGCCAAGCGGCGTGAGTGTGGTGCGGTCTCGAAAGAAGGAGCGAGAAGCCCCCAAGTCAAGGGTGAAGATGTGGGAGGCCGAAGCCGACGCAGTACCTGAGAGAGCAGACTCACCAGCACCTGAGGGAGCAGACGCACGAGTACCTAGAGCAGCAGCCTCGCTAGCACCTAGAACAGCAGCCTCACCAGTACCTAGAGCAGCAGTCTCAATGCCCGGGTCGGGCGGAAAACACCGGTAACAGTCACCCTCATCACTAATAGTCACTGCATACATGGCAGCAAGAATAGCATCAAAGTCAAGGTCAAAGACAGCTACTCCCGCCCTAGACAGCTCGCCCCAGCGGGGGACCTCAGTGGCCTTAGGGAACTGGTGACGCCAAGCGTCCGTCAGGCGGCCAAAGCAGCGCTGGGTGGAATGCGCACCCCCGCACTACTCACCCGCGCGGTCGCCGGTGCGTAGGACGTAGTTGCACGGACCAGTACCCCAACCCTGCTAGCGTGCAGCGTACCACTATCGAAGCTGCTGAGGGGGGGGGATGTCACGAGTGCGCTGCTGCTGCTGCTGGCGCTGACCACCACCGGAGCCGACCCTCTACGCAGCGCCACCCCGACCAGCTCCACCTCCTCCGCCGCCGCCTCCTCCACCACCGCCACCTCCGCCACCTCCGCTCCCACCGCCACCGCCGCCCCCGCCTCCGCCTCCACTGCCGCCACCGACACCTGAGTCGCCTGTGCCGCCGGGTCGCCGAGCCGCCGAGCTGC